AAACCTTATTTTGTATTTTTTACTTTTGTTTTATTTTATATAATTATGAAATTAAAATAATAATTAGAGTAAGAGTCATAGAAAAATTGGGCTTTTGATCATAGGGATGTAGTTTGGCCTTGAAAAAATCATAGGATGCCCTAATGTCATTAGGAACAAACCGTCAAAAATTCAATTAATTTGGATAATCATTTAATTAATTATAATTAATTTTCACTCTGCAGTTTAGAGTCATAGAAAAATTCGGCTTTTGATCATAGGGATGTACTTTGGCCTTGAAAAAATCATAGGATGCCATAAGGTCATTAGGAACAAACCGTAAAAAATTCAATTAATTTGGATAATCATTTAATTAATTATAATTAATTTTCACTATGCAGTTTTTAATTACTTAAAAACAAAATATTTAATAAATATTTTTTTGGTTCAATAAATTATCCTCTCTTCACTGACCACGAAGGTATTTTTCTTTTGTTTTTTTATGAATTTTCTATGCCAATATAAGATTTTTTGAAGTTTTCAAATTAATTTAAATAGAAAATACCCTAATTTCCTACTTATCCACATCAGCGCCGCGTCATTCCTCGGCAACTCCAAACTCCTACGCGGCGCGCTCCTATTCCTTGCACTTTCCACGTTGGCTGCCACGCAGCCCACAATTTGCATTCCCTTCGCTCGTCCGATGCAATCTCGATCTTTCAGTCAATACATGAGAAAATAAACAGCATTTATTCATCGTCCCCGATCGCTCTAACCTGAGAAGCGTCCATGTTCTAACCCTAAGATCTCGCTCGATACTCGACAAAATCAAGTGTGGTTTGTTCTTACACCTTCATTTAAGTGAGATGAACACATCTATACAGCTAGATACACTTGAAATGTAAATCTTCTTCACAAAGTTCTAAACCGAGGGCAAAATCAGGTATTTTAATCCATACCTTTGCCAAAGAGATGAGACCTCAATTGGGTTTGTTCTTCAGCTTCTTCTTGTTCCTGTGAACCTCCTCCAATGGTTGATTTGAGTTGTCGCTGGGTCTAAGTATGATTTTGATCAAGAGGTGGCTCGGGCTTGGTCTACGACTAAGTTAGGGTGCTCGACAAGAGCTAATTTTTGTGGGGGAAGTCTCTTTAAGCTCTGGTGAAGCTCAAGGATGGCTCGATTTGGGATTTTGATGGACTTCGTAGCATGTTCGTGAAATTCCCTAGATTTTGAGCTCAAAATTAGGGCTGAGTGGTGGGGATGAAGGGCTTAGAATGCTTGAAATGAGCTTAGGAACGCTGGAATTAGGGCTTGGAAAAATTTTGGCAGAGTTTCCCCAAGGTTAGTGCCCTTCTCCCCTTTGGTCATTGGGTGGTAACTTATTTAAAGAGGAGGAATGAGGGCTCAATTGGGTTAGTCAGTGGGTGCAAAGGCTTGCTTAGGCATAGGGAAGAAGAGGGAAAATGACCAATTAGATTGAGCCAGCTCAGGGAGTTCCAATTTGGAGTTTTGGCCATGGGGGCCTCCTTGGGCATGGTATTTTCCGGCGACTTGGGTGGTTGGCCGACCAGGCAAGGTCACCTTCATATTTTGGGACGTTAGAATTGGGGAGATGTGAAGTCAATTTGGTTTAAGCATGGGTAATTGCAATTTTTTCAAAGTGGATAATGGGTTTGGGTTAGGTTGGGTTAACCATAGGTTCAACCACATGGAAAAGACTTGGGGTCAAGTCCAAGGTGGCTGGAGTTGTTGAGTCAACTTCTACGGACTTGGGTGATTAATTTGGCATGGGGAATATGAATTTAGTGGGGTGTTAGGGTTTTGGTTAAGCCACTTTGGTGGGAGGTGAAGAGATGTCCTCCTTTTGCTACATTTGGCCTTTATGACCTTTATGATGCTCATGGATGATTCCATGAGTGTTTTCATGACATGCATGAGGCCATGGGTAATTTTCATGAAGAGGGAATTTGTGGATTTTGAAAATTTAGCGAGAGAGGACAATGGAACCAAAAGTAGATGGGTTCATACATGAATGCATGATGCATGGCTATGATGTTTAAATTTAATTTTTAAATCAATGAAGCGGAAATTTGTCATGATGAGCTTAATTGAAATTGAAATTGGGCTTCATTTATGGGACTTTTAAATTTTGTCATGAAGGGATTAATTTGGGCTTTTAGGATGGGTTAAGGAAAATTGATTTTAGGCTTGATGGGCTTTGGAATTGTCACACAAAATTGACTTTGGGTTTAGTGTGTTTGAATTGGTGTGTAGGCCAAATTTGATGGATTTTTGGACTTGTGAAATTTTGGTATGGATTTGGATATTTGGCTCAAAATTGGGGGTTTGGGGTTTGGAATTGAAATTTGGGTTTTGATTTGGTGTTTGGTGAAATTGAATTTAAATTTGATATTGGAATTTAAAGGGCTTGAATTTGGGGTTACATTAGGTATTTTGGGGAATTTAGGGAAACTGGTTAACTTGGGAGAAATTTGATAAAGTGATCATGCATGTCATGAGTAGCCATCTTGGGATCATAATACACCAAATTAAAACTCATTTTTGAGTCTCTTCATGTTGGTCTTAGTCATCCACAAATGATATTTGGGGGCTTGTGACCAACCATGTGAGTTTCCCAAAGAGTTAAGGAGGTAGGTATAGTATATGTGATTTTAGTGATTTGGGGTATGTGGAGAATTTAATGGTTTTGAGTGTGTGTAGGTGTGTGTGTGACCAAACCTGAGCCATCCAGGGTTTTCCTAAGGCTTGATTGAACTTGTAGGAACTCACTCTTGAGTCTTCACATGTTGGTCTTAGCCATCCCAAATGACATTTGGGGGCTTATGGCAACTTAGGTGGGACCTCAAAATAGGAGTCAAGAATTGTTTAGAATTTCTATGTCGAGTGCAGATTCCTTCACTAGTCATGTAAGACAATCCTTATGAAAGTCCTAAGGCTAGATCCTAGGGTTCTAAAGAGAAGAATTTGACCTCATAAAAAATGAGGTCAACAAATAGACCCCCAATAGGTGTGGTGTGTCAAACAAGCATGTCGCACGTATTGGCGTTAACCGAAGCGATCAACAAACTAACATGACTGCCCAAGAAACGTACTTTGAATAGACCAAAGAAATTAAATTAGATTTCATATTAAAAGAATTGGATTTAAATTTAAAATTAGGGATATTTAAGGAGTTTTCGCTGGGATTAAAAGAGTGTATTTTGAATTTGGATTTGCAAATTTTTAGGTTAAATGTTGATTGAATTGGTTTTGCTTTGACGCTTGTCTTGATGTTTGTATTATTTTGAAGATGTTTAATTGTTTTTTATTATTTGGATTGTTTCAATTTCAAAGGTGTGACGAACACCGCAAAAGGAGTAGAACGCCTTAAACCATTAAAAGGGGGGTCTTGTATTTGTCCGGAAAATTCATTTTTTTTTTATGGGAAACGAAATCCTTGCATCGCTCCCAAAAATTTCTAGGTGCAGAAAGACTATGGATAGAGTGTGGAGATTATAGAGATGGGTATCGGAATCCTTGCACTGACCTCGGAGTTTGAGTTTATCACATTAGGTAGGAAAGCATTGAGACTCACATTCAACCTAAGAGGTGAAGAATAAGGAATCAGAATCCTTGCACCGACCTTGGAATTTTGATGGGTATCATAATCCTTGCACTGAGCCTGAAATTTCAATTTTGAATGCGGAAAACATCTGGAAATAATGCAGAATTTGTGGAGGAAAGAAATCAAAATGCTTGCACTTACCCCAAAATCTCAATTCTGAATGAGGAAAATTGTGGATAGAATGCGGAGTTTGTGGAGAAAGGGAATCGAGATATGTACTGACCTCGGAATTTCAATTCTGAATGCGGAAAATTTTGTGGATAGAATGCGGAATTTGTGGAGGAAGGGAATCAAATCCTTGCACTGACCCCAGATTTTGAAGGGTATCAAAATTCTTGCACCGATCTTAGAATTTTAATTTCTGAATGCATAAAATTTTGTGGATAACCACTTGTAAAAATTCATTATAAGTTAATGATCACAAAGACCACTTGTCTTGCAGGCGAGAAAGGGTTACAGATTCCTCCGAATTACAAAGTCGATGTGCGGATAAACTTGTTGCAAGGAATAAACGGCGATCGATGGTGATCGACAACGACCGATGAGTGGTGATTGACGGTGGTCGGCGATGGTCGACGACGGTAAGAGCAATGTCTGGCTTTAGCTCATTATCAAAGCTTTAAGCTATTCCTCAAGCCTCAAGATCTCCTCCCCCTTATGAGAGGAATGAGACCCCATTTATAAAATTTTTGGTGCAATTAATGCAAGAATATGAGCAATTTTGATCAAACGATTTCTCTCAATCAAACAACATTCAAAGAATATTTGAGTGCATTAACGATGTCGAAACTATGCGAGCTTCAGCATGTTAGATTTTTCCTGTCAAGACGCTCAATTCAACTGTAAACTCGTCAAATTCAATATCCATTTGACCTTCCAAATGTGTTCGAGAAACTTCTAAAAATAATTTAATGGCTTAATTTAAGCTTAATTTAACTCAAATTTGATCAATTTTGACATCATTTGGTCCATCTCCTCGTGTCAATCAGTTTGGCTATAAGTTTATTAAAATTAAATCTCTAATAGACTCTTCATCAAACTTTGAACATTTCTTACCCAAGAGATTGCTTCGAGATCCGTGTCATCCTTCAAAATTCATGTCGAATAGAAATTTGTTGGTGTATCATTAATGTTTTTTAAATAAGCTAACTGACAAGCTAACAAGTTAAATTCACGCTAGCTCAAATTTAACTTGTCAGTTTATTGAGCTCAACTCACGAGCCACTTATCAAACCAAGCTTGAGTTAGCATAACTCAGCCAAAGGGCATATACGTTGAGCTAAAAAATGCCCTGAATAAGAGATCAAACGTGCATTTCAGCCTATGAAAGCAAAATACTCGCATTAATACAATCAATAATCCCCAACACATAATTACAAAATTCAATTTTCAGCCTATGAAAGCATAATACTCGCATTAATACAATCAATAATCCCCAACACCTGTACCAAGTTCTCATATTCATTTTCTCTTTGATTAAGAGGAATTTATCCAAGCAGCCTACAGTTACAATTCCCCCAAACAATACCAGAAGCCAAAAGAAAAGGAGAGGAAAGGAACAAAGAATAATACAATAAAAATAAAATAAAATAAAAAACCTTAAGAATGCAGGGCTTGTATAATTAAAACCCTTCATTTTTATACTTGAATAACATTTCTGGAGCACCAAAAAATTATAACTTTCGATTGATTTTCTTTAGTGGCATCAAGGCCTGATTAGGTGTTCAAATTGGTGGATATTGACTCCAATTTCTGCTAATGAGGCAATCAATCTTGGCAGGATTTTGGCTAACATTAACTTGAAGCCAACAGAACAGGACTGTTCCGTACTCTTTTGGGTCATGCAGGCGTCCTTAGTAAGAGTCCCGATTAAACAACCGGCCATGTAGGCCTCGCATGCTTTGAGGATGTAATAGCCACGCCTTTGGAAGTGGTCCTTCACAAAAGCTTCAAAATGCTGCAGAATAATTGAAAGAAAGATCAGGAAATATTTGTGGTTGTTAAAACTAGAAGAGATTTGGACCAGAATGCTATGGTTTAAATTTGGTTAAAATTAATGTTTGGGGGTATTCACTGACATACCATGCAATTCCAATGTATTTACATAACCATATCTAAATTTTGCTTTTTATATTAATATTAATGGAGACTTTCATATCACATCAAAAATAACACTACTTTAACTTATGAAAAGTGGAATGCACCTTTTCATACAAAAATAAAATGGCATACAACAACACCAACAAAAGCCTTTATCCCAGTAAATCAGGTCGGCTACACGTATCCTTTCTCTTCATTGTGTCCAATTGAGTGTCATATTTTTCATTTAAATCTAATAAATTAATATCATTTTTTATGTAATATGACCAAATCATTTTAGGTCTACCTCTACCCTTCTCAACATCTGTCGAATCTTAAACATCTACTCTCCTGACCGAATCATTTAATGATCAACGTTTAATGTGACCAAGCCATCTAAAACGACTCTCTCTAATCTTGTATGCCACTAGAGCTACACAAACCCTTTCACGGATACATTCATTTTGCATTTTGTCTCTAAAACGTCAAGCCACCCATCCACCAAAGCATGCTCAACTTAGCAATACTTAACTTAGTTTTATGCTTCTCTTTTAAGGGCCAATATTATGCGCCATAAAGCATTGCAGGTCTCAACACCATCTTATTAAATTTTCCTTCAAGTCTAAGTGGTGTTTTTATATCACACAATAGGCCTGATGCATTCCTCCATTTCAACCATCCAACTTGAAATCAATTAATAACATCCCCATCTATAGCACCATCACTTTAATCAATAGACCACAGATATCTAAAACATTCATACAGTTTAATGATTTGATCACCTATTGTTTTATTTTGCTATTAGATCTACTACTATTAAAATTACATTCTATGTATTCGGTTTCAGATCTACTCAAACGAAGACCTTTAAACTCTAATGGAGACTTCTATAAAAAAAAATAGTGTATATGTAAAAATTGAAGTTTAGAAGTTAGATATGTAAATCCACAGGAATTGAGTGGTATGTTGTAATTTTTTAGGCATTAGATTTGCTTTAAGATGAGTGTATATAGTTGATCAATTAACTCTTATTTTGCATTAATCTTAAAGCAAATTCAACAGTTCTGAAATGCACCGTGATTAACTTTAGGCCAGATTTGTCCTAAATTTAAGTAAAACAATATTAAATATTTTACCAGGAGCATCTTCAACAAATTTGAACAACAATCAATAAATCTTTTGTAATTTTTAAAGGGAAAATTTATCATGTTTTTACATATCTAACACCTAAATTTTGATATTTATGCTTTTAGCGTGTTGGTTTTATAATCCTGTGCATGAAAAGGTGTATTTCACTTCTCAAGAGTTAGTAATAACAGTATTTTTGATGTGATTCAAAAGATTTCAGTGGCATGCATGTAAATATCAAAGTTTAGCTTTTAGACCTGCAAATATATAAGAATTATGTGGTATGTATGCAAATGCCCAATATTAAAATAAGAAGGAAATTTGGGTCAACATATCTTAATCCAAACTTGGTCACTATAAATTTTCTACTCATCTAATCAATCAACCATTACATTGCACTAATCTCAAAACAAAATATATCGGAACCAAATTGTGTCTAGTTTATCTTAAAATTAGATAAAAGAATAGAGGATATTTTACCATGAAACATTAATAAAAAACTTGAACAGATAACAATAATTTTTTGCCATCATTATAAATAAAAGAAAATTTGTATTCGAATATCCACATCCAAATTAGATAAATATTAAATTTTTAGTTATTAAAATTGATTTAATATGAGTATAATACATGGTTAATCAATTAGCTCTAGTATTATACCCATCTCAAAGTAAGTCCAACAGCTTTAAAACTCATCCTGAAATCTTGGTTAGTTTTACCGTACCTTTATGTTAAAAGAACATCAGATATCTTATCATGTAACATTGTTAAAAATTTGGAAGATTTACATACATACCACTTAATTCCTATGTAATTGCATATCTAATGCCTACACTATACTTTTTACAAATATGCCAAATTATCTATATATGAAAAGGTGTACTTCACTTTTTTAGAGGTTAAAATAATGGTATTTTTTATGTGATATGAATGAAAGATTTGGGTGGTATTAATGTAAAAAATAAAAGTTTAGGTGTTAGATATGTCAATACATGGGAATTAGGTGGTATGTATGTAAATGCCCCTAAAAATTTTGGCAAACAATATAAGAAAGCTTTATAATCATTAAAATAAGAAGAAAATTCATGATATTATGAAAAAATTTGGATCAGGATAAATTTTCTAGCCATTGCAACTGCTTTGAGACGAGTGTAATGTATGAATAATCAATCAACTCTTATATAGAACTCATATCAAAGTACATCCGATGAGTATAAAACTCATTTTGAAACAATCTAAATTGAGTTCATCTTAAAGGAAATCTTACATACATACCACTCAATTCATATGTATTTACATATCTAACACCATACATACTACTTTACCTATGCATGAAAAAGATGTATTTTACTTTCTAAAAGCTAAAATTGTGGTTTTTTTTATGTGATATGAAAGATATGTGTGGTATAGATGTAAAAAAGCAAGCTTTAGATGTTAGATTTGTTAATGCATATGAATTAGGCGGTATATACGTCAATGCCCGTTCGTAAAACTAGGTAAAAGAATATTTGATAACTTACCTTGGGGGGGCGGCGCATGAGATACAACATTGATTTCAAATTCAGAAGGTATGTGTTCTCATTGTAGGGTATGGAATTCTTCTCTCCTTCTATGGTTCCAACTTGTCTTTCGTACCCAGCTTCGTTGAAGTAAGGTTTGGAATTAAGAACCAGGCCTTGTAGAGAAACTAAAACCTGAAGAATGCTCGAGGAAGATGGGTCCCACACTTCATTTCCTCTGCCAGTCCACGTGTTCAGAAGGCTTAGGCAGACCTTCCCGTCCACATAGAGATTGGGGTTTATCCGCAAACCACCAGAATGATAGTACGCTAGCTGGAAATATGTAGACAAATCATAAGCACTAATAGGGTTCAAATCTAGAAACTGGGGCTGCGAGAACAACAATTATATTCATAGCACTTAGTGCTCATGTATTTACAAATCTAACATCTAAAATTTAATTTTTACATATATGTCACCTTACCTATGCATGAAAAGGTGTGTTTCACTGCTTAGAAGTTAAAAAAGTGGTATTTTTTATGTGATCTGAAAGATTTGGGTGGCATATGTTGTGAGATAAATAAAACGATCGACGACGAAGCGAAAAATAGAACGAGAAAAATTTACAGAGAGACACAAAAATTTACGTAGTTCGGCAGATTGTCTATGTCCACGGAGTTGCAGAGGATTTTATTACTTTTAGGATTCACATCTTCATCGATCACGTCGACTTACAAGAAAACGTCTCTCACGTTCTCTCTCTCTCTCTCTCTCTCTCTCTCTCTCAAGAAGCAAATCCTGCGATTCCCTGGAGTTTTAACTGCTTCTTCACCCTTAAGCAAGCACATGCGATGAAGACCTTGGAGAGCCAAACATGAGATTTGTCCTTTTATTTCTTCTTCTCCGAAGCCTTAGAGAACCGCCTCTTGGAAAAGGCTTATACGGCTGCAAGCACACACCTCTTCAAATCCAACTTATTTTCTGCACCTTTTAATGGTGGCGGGACCCACCTTATTCTTAAAGTGAATAGGCGGCAATGGATAGAAGAGGCGGGAATGATTCTAAATAGAGAATTTAAAAAAGAGCATCAAATAAAGGGGCAATTAAAATATCAACATTTGCATATAAAGAGGAAATTGTCAATTGAAAGTGAACCGGGCACCACTAATTTTCAATAAATCTCCTACTTGGAAACCGGTACACAGGCAGTATCATCCACTGGTTGTGTCATCATTTTCTTCAAAAGTGATATCATCCACCTCTGCAACTCAAAATCATTGTCTTCAAGCTAACAGACCAATTGAAGCTACGCATAACTTCAGTTTCTCAAGAATAACACTCTTAGTCAATATATCAGCGTCAACATAATCTTGTACCTCCAAGCTCTTTCATGGGTTACTCATGTTTCTGCTTACAACTCCCACTACATATGCAATATACTGTCTCTGTTGAAAGTATTTTTCAACAAGTCTAATATTGTACCTCCAACTGTGATTAAGCGCAGTCTTCACTCGTTACGCCCACTTATTGTGCAATACTTTCTTCCCTAATGGAAGTTCTATCAGCTCCCAAGTCTGATTCCCTGACAGGAAACTCATCTCCTTCTTCTTGGTTAACTCCCACTTACTTGAATTTTCATTTTGTAAGGTTTCTTCATAACTCTAGGGTTCTCCACCATCTGTCAGCAGAATGTAGTTCAAAGTTGGTAACGCTATGGAGAACTAGTTCTTTCCAACCTACGAAATGCAGCTGTAGGGGTAGACTGCTCTGAAACTGACTGTTGAACAATAGGAATAGATGCACTGGACCCAATCTCCTCGTCACTTGCATTTATGTCCTACACTATGACCTCTGGTAAATCATCAAACATTACCAATTCAGATTCCCGCAATTTTGTTTCAAAAATTGTACTGGTATTGTCGTTATACATAATCTTCTTATTGATAATCACGTTCATGTTCCTTATGATCTTCTGATTTTGATCATCTCAGAAATGATATCTAAATGTCTCGTCTTCATATCCAATGAAATAACACTTCTTTAACTTAGCCTCAAGTTTACTTCGAGCATCAGGATTAATTAGAACACAAGAAAAGCAACCAAAAATTTTAAGGTGAGAAAAATTGACCGCTTTCTCACTTCAGACCTCCTCAGGCAATTAACAATGTGGTGGAACAGATATCCCCCTGTTGATCAAATAAACTGCAGTGCTGACCGCTTCTGCCCAGAAAGTAGGTGATAGTCCGTCATGCAATTTCATGCTTCTAGTCCGCTCATTGATGGTCCTGTTCATGCGCTCTAAATATCATTTTGTTGTGGTGCCACTGGAATGGTTTTCTCCATTTTTATGTCCAAAGTTGCACAATATTCTTTGAACCCATCATCAATGTACTCACCATCATTATCATACCTCAGACATTTTAGCTTTAAGTCAGTCTCTATCTCAATCACGGCCTTTCAAGTCTTGAACACATTAAATATATCAAATTTATACTTCAAGAAATAAATCAATATCTTTCTGTTATGATCATCAATGAATGTAACATGTAACAAGAGCCTCCAAGAGATGTCACTGGGGAAAGTCCTCACACATCTGTGTGCACTAGATTCAATTTTCCTGCCTTTAGCGTCTTGTCACATTTCAAAAAATCGATTTTCTTATGTTTCTCCATAATGCAACTCTCACACATACTTAGATCAACTAACTTTAATTCTGGTAGCTTGCTTCTGGACTGAAGTTTTTTCATACCCCTCTGACTCATGTAGTCAAGTCTGTAATGCCACAACTCTATTGTGCTCTCTGCAATGGTAGTATCAACACTGTTAATTAAACCAATAGTCATATCTAGCGTACATGTTTTCTTACCTTGAGCCAATACTGATGCTCCTTTAGTAACCTTCTAGATGTTATCTGAGAATACTTTTGAATGTCCACACTTATCAAGCTGCCTAACAAAAATGAGGTTTTTCTTCAGTTCAGAAATGTGTCTGACCTTTTGCAAAATCTACTTGTTCTTATTTGGAAGTGCAATGTCAATGTCAATGTCACACGTTCCTACTACATTCAAAACTTCTCTATCAGCAGATATACTTTCTCAAAGTCACCTGCAACATAAATTCACATCAATTCCCGATGAAAAGTTGAATGGAAAAAAGCACCTGAATCTAGTATTCAGTTATCAACAGAACTATAAACTGTCAGCAGTTGTGTATCATTTGCTTCTTACCATATTTGTGCTATCATTTTATGTCTTCTTGGGATTTATACAATTCCTCTTTGTGTGATCAGTTTTGTCACAATTCTAACAAGCTACTTGTTTAGCGGACACTGACTTGCTCATATCTCTGTGTTTTGATTTTGATCTTCCTCTATTTGAATGCTTGTTCAGTATTCTTCGAGAATCAACATTCAGTTTCGAACTCAAAACTGAAAATTTTCCAGAGTCTTTCTTGCGCACCTTCTCAGCCAAAATCAAATCACAAATATCATATTTCAATTTAGATTTACCTGCAGAGTTGCTAATTGTCATGTTCATAGCTTCCCAACTATTTAGCAATGAAGCCAACAATATCAGTACATGTATCTCATCATCAAATTCAATTTCCACAGACGATAATTGATTTATGATAGTGTTGAAATCATGTAGGTATTGTACAATAGACGTACCTTCTGTCATCTTCAAATTTAATAATTTTTTCATCAGATATATCTTATTCTTCGTCGATGACTTTTTAAACATATTTGACAGGGCTGTCATGAGATCTGCAGTAGTCATTTCATTGACGACATTGTATGCAACGGACATCTACAGAGTTAATCGAATAACCCCTAGAACTTGTTAATCCAACAAATTTCATTCAACCTCCTCCATATTTTCTGGTATTTTCCCCAATAACGGAATATGAAGTTTCTTCTCATAGAGGTAGTTCTCTATCTGCATCCTCCAGTAACCAAAATTTGTACCATCAAATTTTTTGATCCTTAAAACCTTCACTTCATCTCCTGTCATAAACTTTTCTCAGATCTGAACCAAAGCTCTGATACCACATGTTGTGCGATAAATAAAACAATCGACAACGAAGCGAAAAATAGAATGAGAAAAATTCACAGAGGCACACAGATTTACGTGGTTCGGCACATTGGCTACGTCCACGGAATTGCATAGGATTTTATTACTTTGAAGATTTACACCGTCATCGATCGTGTCGACTTACAAGAAAAAGTCTCTCACTCTCTCTCTCTCTTTTACCCTCTCTCTACTGAAAGCCACAGTAGAAAGAAAAGAAAAAATGGAAGAAGCAAATCCTGCATTTCCCTCGAGTTTCAGCTGCTTCTTCACCTGTAAGCAAGCACATGCGATGAAGACCTTGGAGAGCCAAACTTGTCATCTTACTAGTGATAGCCTTTTGGTGATATGGTGTTGGTGGTGGTGGTAGTTTTGTGATTTTTTTCAGTTATATTTTCGAGTTCTGGTATTTTAAATAACAATTTATCTTTTCTCTGGCAAATATTTATATTTCTTGGTTCATTTCATGCTAGTATCGTCAAAGTTAAGACAAAAGAAATCAGTTCGTTTGCATGTGGGATAAAACTGTCAAAGTAATATCGTGTGATCTGTTTTAAAGAGATGAAATTGGAAAATAGGCCAACAACCTATTTTAAAAAGGAGGATTGACAAAATATTATAAAAAAATTCAAAGAAGCACATGAAGTGAACACGATAGGAGGCAATTGAAAAACAAGTGAGATCAATTAAAAAAATCAGGAAATTTTGGAAAGAGTTAAAGCGAGGATCCATGAGCTTGCGTTGGGATCCGATGAAACGAACAGTTGATGCTTCAGAAGAATGATGGGCTAAGAAATTGGAAGTGAGAATTTAGAAATTTTCAAGTCATTTTATCATTTATTTATTTATTATTTATTATTTTTTTTTTTTGCAATTACATCAACATATTAATCATTCATTATTTTGTAAGTTGTGTCAAATGCAAAAAATTCAAATTCAGTGGCAATGACCCTGAGCTAGAAGAAAAGTTGGATCGTATGTTTGGTGGAGTTATGACCGCGGGTGATTATGCATGAGCACCTAGTGAGAGATGGTTTCTTGGCATAGCTGAGCACGTGGATGCCGAGCAAACATCTGACACCAATGAAAGCCAAAGCCCGAATTGCCTACGTCCCCAGAATTGCAGAAGATTTTATTACTTTGAGGATTTACACCGTCATCGACCACGTTGACTTACAAGAAAAAGTCTCTCACTTTCTCTCTCTCTCTTTTACTCTCTCTCTACTGAAAGCCATAGTAGAAAGAAAAGAAAAAAACGGAAGAAGCAAATCTTGGGTTTCCCTCGAGTTTCGGCTGCTTCTTCACCCATAAGCAAGCACATGCGATGAAGACCTCGGAGAGCCAAACATGCAATTTGTCCTTTTATTTCTTCTTCTGCAGAGCCTTGGAGAACCGCCTCTTGGAAGAGGCTTATACGGTTGCTAGCACACCCCCTCTTCAAATCCAACTTCTTATGCACACCTTCCTTATTCTCAAAGTGAAGAGGCGGAAATGGATAAAAGAGGCGGCAAGGGAATTAAATAGAGGATTTAATAAAGGGCATCAAATAAAGGGGCAAATAAAATATCAAAAACTGCCATATAGAGAGGAAATTGTCAATTGAAAGTGGACCGGGCTCCATTAATTTTCAACAGCATAAATATAAAAAGTAAAATTTAGGTGTTAGATATATAATGGTATCTATGTAAATGCCCCGATGTCCAATTTCGTCCAATAGGAAAACCTACCGGAGGAACTTGAGGGTACTCAGGTGGAAGATGAAAATCGAAAAAGAAAAGGCCGTCTTGGTAAGGAGTTCCAGAAGCTCCTACTATCACAGCTCTTAACAAATCCATTCGATCCTCATAAGCTCTCACATAAATAGCATCTGCATCCATCCAGAAGCATAAAATTTTAAGTTGCAAATTAGAATTCACAAAACCAAACTTTATAGGTACCGATGGTCTTGGACCAAGCTACCTGGCAAGTTCTTCTCAAGGATGCTCCATTCCTGCAATCTTTTTGACTCATTTCCTTTCTCCACTACCCTGCATCTCATAGATATTAGCAATCAATTATGAGAAAAGAGAAAAAAAACATAAAGCGAAAAAAAAATCCAAAATCTGCCTATAGAAAATGAGGATTTCGACGTTTAAATGTGATATCATTACCATCCTCAGTATCGACAAAGCAAAGGAGAAGAGATTGAAATGGATTGATCACGTGGAAACGAAACAATGTGAAGCAAGTTAGGCCCCATTTAGCGCAGTTGTTTAACTGTGGCGCGTTTTGAAACCGCCAAAACCGGCATTTGGAAAGTGCGGCACGGTAGAGCTTTTTAAACCCCACCAGCAAACGCGTGCCGCGGGTATAACCCTGCGGTTCGTACTTGCTTCGTTTTTTTTCCATTCCCAACCCCCGCGTCTTTGCCCTAGCTCCTTTGCATCTCACCCTAGCTCCTTCCCGTCTCACCCTCTCTCGATGATTTGCCTATCTCACCTCTCTGACGCCTCTCTGGAGTCTTTGCCCGAAGGTCGTTACCTCACTCCCGTATGTGTCGTAAGAAGTGATAACCCCTCTTTCCCACGGTATCTTCTATCATTTTTCTTTGAAATTTGAGGTTGATTTCAAATGTGACTTTCTCTATGAAAATTGTGGATTTACCGTGAAAATTGATATTCGAGTAGCAAAAAAATGAGGTTTTGGATTTTGGTATTCTCTGCTATTTTTTGTGCGGTTTGTGATCTTTGCTTTACTCGGTTTATAGTTTGCACTTTCATTCTTCATTCTAGGATATTTACATAACCTAACATTCAGAGCATTCGCAATTTTGGTCTGGCTTTGCTCTGTTTCAACTATTCTTTTTCGAAATGAATAGTGGTTAGAATTTTATCAAACATTTTGATATTTGAGGGAGACCTGGCCCAGAGAGACTTGGATTGAGATTTTATGATGAATTCTATTTTGAGCTAAAGCTAGATTTGTTAATAGCAATGTTTTGGGTGTTGCGTATTTTGTAGTGGTGATTTTATGGTGAATCCTCTCTTTGCAGTGAGAATTTGAGAAAAAAATGTCAGATAATTTGAAAAAAATTACAGTGAGAATTTTGATATTTGAATATGGATTGGTATTTTATGGTGGTGGTGATGGTGGTGATGGTGGTGGTGGTGGTGGTGGTGTGGGTGGTGTTTTTTTGGTGATATGGTGGTGGTGATGTTAGTGGTTGTGGGGTTGGTGAAATGGTGGTGGGGGTGGTGGTGGCGGCTTTTTGGTGAAATGGTGTTTGTGGTGAAGTTGGTGGTAGTGGTGTTGGTGGTTTGTTGGTTTTGATTTTTTTAGTGACATGGTGGTGGTGGTGGTGTTGGTGTTATTGTTATTGGTGGTGGTGGTGGTGGTGGTTTTTTTATGACATGATGGTGGCATTGGTGGTGGTTTTTTTATGACATGGTGGTGGTGGTGTTGGTTTGGCGGCGGTGATGTTAGTGGTGGTTTTTTGATGACATGATGGTGATGGCGTTGATGGGTTGGTGCTGGTTTTTTGGTAGGTTGGTGGTGTTAGTGTTGGTGGTGTTAGTGGTGATACTGGTGATAGCCTTTTGGTTATATGGTGGTGGTGGTAGTTTTGTGATTTTTTTTTTTTCAGTTATATTTTCGAGTTGTGGCATTTTAAATAACAATTTATCTTTTCTGGCAAATATTTATGTTTCTTCGTTCATTTCATGCTAGTATCGTCAAGGTTAAGACAAAAGAAATCAGTTCGTATGTCATGTGGGATAAAGTTGTCAAAGTAATATCGTGTGATTTGTTTTAAAGAGATGAAATTGGAAAATAAGCCAACAACCTATTTTAACAAGGAGGATTGAAAAAATATTATAAAAAAATTCAAAGAAACACATGAAGGGAACGTGATAGGATGCAATTGAAAAACAAGTGAGATCAATTAAAAAAACCATGAAATTTTGGAAAGAGTTTAAGCGGGGATCCATGAGCTTGGGTTGGGATCCGATAAGGCGAACAATTGATGATTCAGAAAAATGGTGGGTTGAGAAATTGGAAGTGAGAATTTAGAAATTGTCAAGTCATTTTATCATTTATTTATTTATTATTATTTTTTTTATTTTTTTGCAATTACATCAACATATTAATCATTCATTATTTTGTAAGTAGTGTCAAATGCAAAAAATTCAAATTCAGTGGCAATGACCATGAGCTGAAAGAAAAGTTGGATCGTATGTTTGGTGGAGTTGTGACCACGGGTGATCATGCATGAGCACCTAGTGAGAGATGGTTTCTTGGCATAGCTGAGCACGTGGATGCCGAGCAAACATCTGACACCAATGAAGGCCCTAGCCCAAACCTCAATGAAATTGAATCCATAAGTCAATCAAAGCATCCTAGGGTTGAGAAAACAAATGTAGTTTTCATTAAAAGCCAAATTTCACAATTAGTTGATTCCTGCACTAATGACCCTAACACATCACAAACAACTTCTATTTAACAATTCATACGAATTCTTGAAGCAACTCCAGAAATTTATGATGACATACCGTTGTATTTATTCTCAATAAAGTTAGTTGAACACCCGACTTAGAGAGAATTCGTTATGTCGATGACCACTGACCGTGGGGTCCATTACTTGTGTTATTTTCATGACAAGCAAGTTGTTTGATGCTTGATGTTTTTTTTTTGGATGTTTCATGTTTGATTATCATGGGGACCGTATTTGTGCTACATTCGATGTTATTTATGTGGTTAGAGTTCTTTATCATTGTTTGTTGTTTAATGCATGTTATAGCTAATTCAATGTTATTTATATGTGGTAATTACATAGAAAATGAATAACATGGACAGGAAAATAAGCAGAAGAAGAATTATAGTTGTGTTATGCTTCATGTATGAGTATTATAACTCATATAATGCTCGCTCTCTCTGCATTACATCCACATACATAGGTGATAAGTGGGTCAGGGAGTTGCTCGCAGGAAATCTGACAAGATTTAACAATGTGTTTCGTCTGACATAATCCGTATTCATCGACATTTTAGAATAACTACACATGAATCATGGACTTCATGGCTCATTCAGGATGAGTTTCAGAGAGATGTTAGATATAACACATTACATCTTATCAGAAAATGAATCTATGGAGTCATAGAGCAATTCTAACACTCATCAGAAACAATCATTAAATATTTTACATTTGGGTTGAATGCTCTGATTAACTTATCATCACAAATTACCAAACCTAAAGACCCCGCATTCTAAAGGACACCCATAGAGATTTCACAGGGCTAACGGTATATGTCATATTTTAAGGTGAATGCATGTGCTCATAATTTCTTGAATTTACTTGAACACAGTAATTCAAACACCTTTGATAAATGCTTTAGGATTGCATTGAAGTGATTAATGGAATGCATATCGATGCGCGAGTGTCAAACAATGAAAAGATCGTATACATCGGTCGATGCAGTTCACGTACAAAGAATATAATGGTTGTATGTGATTTTAACATGTGCTCACACGACAATCGCAAATTCAAATTTTCCACGCGAACTTAGAAATACAACTTTTCAAAACCACCTCCAGATTTGCTTGAATGTGAATAAATAAAATGATACCTTTACTGCAATACTAATGATTATAACTAGTTTAGAAAATATTATCTCATTGATATCGGATATCATTTACAAATAAAGATTTCTCAAAATATTTCCTGATTTTAAAAGAGCTAACAACATTGTTCGGGGTAGAAAAGAGATTTTTAATAAGAGACATTCATCATTACGTGGTGTTATCAAAAAAATATTTGAAGTTTAGTAAAAAAAGAATTATTATGCAAGATATGCCCACATTTCCATTTAGCAAAAAAGTTCAAATTGTGGTCGTTACAATTACTTCACAAGTACAATCGACGACATCCTTCACGCAGTGACATTGACTTCAATAGAGCATATGAAGATCATTCACATGTTCCTTCTGTAGCATATGAATATCGCCTAGGGCAATTAATATCACAGACTAAAGTGATTTGTCAAAGACTTGTGCCCAGGTTGGGGAAAATGTTGGGGAGATGGAGTTGCGAGAGCAAATTTATTTTTGGTTTGGAGGTCCATGACAAGATATTTGACTTTCTGGGTTCTTCCGGATGAACTACATATTGTTGTGGATTCTTCACACGTATGAAATTACTATCAAGGCAACTAAGTACCCTTCCTTCTTCAGTCATATGCCCATTGGGTTTCTTCAAGATGGTCTTTGTGTTGATAATTACGGCACATATGAGCTCGGTATTACGTTGTTTAAAAACAATCAATAACCCTTTTTTTTTTAAGATCTATTGTCTTTTTATATGACAAATTATTTATTGACTTATACTTTCAGCTCAGAAACCTCACAAGTTTCAAAAACATTAATTGAATATTTATATTATTCTTCTTTACTAATGGTACATCTAAGAGTCTGAGTTTTATGATTTTAAACCTTCAGAAAAGATGAGCTTCATGACTTCTGGTGCCCCCAGAGCATTGAACTGCTACTGTGAACTGCAGTGTTCTCTGCTTACTTCGTGACAGCAACATAGCTATAGACGACAATTTTACAAGTGTTCATGGAATAAAACAGAAAACTGTGACTTTTCAGATGAGCGGTTCAGTTCGATGATTCTACCACTGATGGTGATCAGGCGTAGAGAGTTTCGTTGGAGGTATTACATTGTGACATGAATCAACTGCATTTTAAAAATAATATTATGATGATAATAATTGTTATTTTAATAGTTTTTTTATTGTCTTATTATTCAATGCTTGGTGATATATCAATTTTTATTTTGTAATATTCAAATTTGATATTTGTTTTCATGTATGAAATGTGCAAGCAGGATTGATTCTGTTATAAACAACATTATACAAGAGAGGCGAAAATGTCATTTATTCATAAACAGTTGCAACACAGCTACTGCAAAACTGCACTGAACAAACATACAGCTTCTGTGCAACAACTTTTGCGCAACAGCTTACCCGCACAGTTGCTACGCAATAGTTTTTTAATAAGCCACAATTGTCCCAAACAGACCCTTAGTGTCAGTAACTTTTGGTGATATGTTTTGATCTAAGAGAAGTGTCAAAATAGTCCCCTGACACTTGGCAAGGGGTCATTTGAGTTTAGAGTCTATAAAGCGCCAAATTAGTCTCCGGGCTTTTTAATTTCAGCCCTAATTGAAAGAATCCAGGGACAAATTTGGCATTTTTATAAACTCTAGGACTAATATGGCACCATGTAAACAGTAAGAAGTCTATTTTGACACTATTCATCTCGATTGTGTGGCTATAAGTGAAATAAGCATGCCAAGCTTCATCTCGTTAGATATTATTCATAATTATTTAATTAGAACTGAATCCAAATGTAACTTGCATTAGCAGAAATAATGGTAAAGAGAAATTCACGCTCCAATAGTCAAAGTAAAGAAAATGATGATGGTAAACATGTAGTATTGTTATTGCTAAGTGAAAATGGAGTAGCAGAGAGGAAAAACTACATTACCTGCCCAATACTGCTTGAAAAATAATTATCTGCTGGATTATCGCTAATGTCAAAATGTTTGAAGCTCTGTATTCCACCCTCTGAGTCTGCTCTTGCACTGGCAGAATCTGATTTTGGGCTTTCAATTACCCTTTCAACATCTCCTGTACTGGCAGAAGCCTGAAAATCTGCATCATTTGTTGTTCTATCAACTGTAACCTCAGGCATATGCTGAGTTTCTGAATCACTGAAGCTATTTTCATCTGAATTTGATAAATCAAAATTTCGTTTATTCCGGGAAAACAATCCAGTCGCCAATCTGGTGACGAAGTTGATTGCAGCAAGAGGCACTGAAAGAGGCCCAGCTTTTCC